CTTGGCCTACGTGGCGGGATGCTTCCCCCACCGGCTGCGAATAGCGCGAAGGGGGACGAGGTTTTCTTCAGGTCGCAGCCTCTAGTTGAGCTATCGAAAGCTTAACGGATGCTCGTGGGCTTCCCTGGGGAAACGCTTGGGGCGGCGGGGAAGGGATCCTGGTCTCGTTTGCGGTGCGGCCGATTTGCCAGCGCCTTCAGGAAAACGGAGGGAGTTACTCCAGGTTTGCTCCAGCGTGCATCTGCGCTTGGCGTGGAGGCTCCGCGGAGGGAGAAATGGTTAATGGGCCCGTCTACACGCGTTGCAAGTAACCCGGATAGGCCTATCAGAGTTTCAGACGAACTCCTTTAAAACACCTTTTCCCCACTGCGTTTCCTACGTGATTTTAACCCCTGCTTTACAGTGCAGCAGCGGCACGCTCGGGGGTTTTCCGTTTTTCCTTCTACTTAGCGCAGCTGGTGGCTACGTCAGGCGGAGAGACAAGGGCCGAGTTCGTTGCCGGGCCTGGGCTGACCTCCGCCGGCTGCGTACGAGGGGTCACTCCGAACCGCCCGGGCGCGTGCGCGGGGGTTCCCGTTTTCTCCCTCCCCGACCCTTGCTCTCGCTCTCCCACCCCCTCGCGCTGCTGAGTCACTCTGCTTTTATTTTAACGTGTCCTTAACAGAGGAGTCGGTCTGCGTGCCGCTGGAAAATCACGCTCGTACCTGCAAAACTTAAAGAAAGGCAGCGGGCCCTGGGGAGGAAAGGCTTGTTTTTGATTTTTCCTTCACCCTGTTGTCGTTTTGCGCCTGAAGAGCAGTTTCCCTGCTGGGCAATGGGCCTTGCACGCCTGGCTTTGCTCGGCTGCTCCTTCCTGCGAGGAGCCCGCAGCCGTTTCGTTAGAGCATCCGCTCCTGCCGAGAGCCGGCAGGGGCTGAGTTGACCGAGGGGGCAAGCAGATACTCTGCGCGGAGCATCGCTCTTAGGGAGCTCTCTGAGAGGTACGGCAAATCATCTGTGTGCTAGCTCCCACGCTATTGAAATTCAGTCTGTAAACCAAACCTTTCATAACCCATCTCATTATAACAACACGCTATTTCCCTGGCTCTGAAGAACTGCCTTGTAGAAAAGAGGAACTGAACTGTGTCTTTTGAAAGAGTAACCCTAATGGAAGACTCACAGAAAGCTTCATAAAGCTTACATATTATTATTCAGTTGAAGTATCCTGTTGATAGTTTTGTGTCTGCATTATAGGTTTTGTTTATGTCTTTCACAGTAACAGAAGTTATTCCCTGTATTTTTTTTTTTTTGACTCTGATTTTCATATCTATTCACTCTTCCTATGGAGAAGATGAAGAAGTTGTTTATTGCTGCCTCCCGCGGTGCTGCCTTCAGCTCAGGGACGCCTTAGGAAATCAGGAGATGTCTCTCTCCTCCCTGTCCTGTGAGAAGTTACGGACCTCTAATCAGGATTGCTAAGGAATGGAGGGCTGGGGAGGTCACCCACTGCTCCCACCCAGTGTGGGTGCTTGAGTTACCAGATCCCTCCCCTGGAGGCTTTCCTGCCTCCGAGGACCTAAGCTAGGCTTTTTCCTAATGAATTTAGGCCAAGAAGTAGAGTGGCCTGAGCAAAGGTGTGGCCACAGCAGCATGGGTGAACGGAGGTTTTCCCTCCATGGCTGCCGAGTGGCATCACCAGCTTGCGTTCATTCCTCCTTTCTTTTGCTCGAGCCCTTAGTCCCCAGCAAGATCTAACAGGATCACATTACTACCTGTGGCTGCATTTTCTTGGCAGCAATTGGAGTTGCATTGGTCCCGGAGCATGGAGACCTCCCTCTCCAGCATCTCAATCCTGCTCAGCAGATCCTGCATGGACGGGAAGGAGGTGGAGCACTTGCAGGCCTGCTTGGGGAAGTTTATCCTGTGGGTGAAGGTGACCTGGCTCTCGCTGTCTGAGGTCTGCTCTGCATACTCCGCCATCCTGTCGTCTTCCGAACTCACCTCCTCGGCTGAAGACTTGAGCATTGACGAGCAGCAGCTGTCCAGGGGGATGTTAATGTTGTAGATGTGGTGGAAGACCATGGGCTGCTCTTTGATGGGTGGGCTGCAGTTGGCAACGCTGCCCTCCTCATCCACCACTGGCCTCTTGGCTGCCTCTGTTGTCACTTCTAGCCGGCACTCAAAAGGCTTGAGGATGGTGCCTAGCAGTAGCAAGTTGAAGCTGATAAGCATGTTCCTCAGGACTGGGCTTTCACTGTCAGTCCCCATTTTTCTGGGTAAGGAAAGAGCCTTCTAAGCCAGCCTTGGTCAGCCAAGCTCTGGGAGAACCTGGGGACACAGAAGAGAAAGAACATGCGTGGTGTTAGCCTTGAAAGAGGGCGGCTGCAGTTGCGTTAGAGAGGGCAGCCCTTCTGGGCAAGGCGTCCAGAGAGACGTTCAGGGCAAACTTGACCCAAGCGTGGTCCGGCTGCCTTTGGTGTAAGGGAGGAGGCTAAATCAGCCCTGAGCAGAGCCTACAGCTGCCCAGGGAATCACAGAATCACAGAATCGTTTAGGTTGGAAGGGATCTAGTCCAACCTCCCTGCTCAAGCAGGGTCACCTAGGGCATATTGCCCAGGATCACATCCAGACGGGTTTTGAATATCTCCAGCGAAGGAGACTCCACTACCTCTCTGGGCAACCTGTTCCAGTGCTCAGTCACCCTCACAGTGAAGGGTGAACACGGAACAGCCGTGCCTTTCTGGGCACTGACATCCTGGCCCTTTGGATCTTAACTATGCGGACTAGCTGCACGGGAGGTAAATCAGAAAACATCTTGCAGTGCATCAGGCCAGCTCAGCTCCCCCAGTCCTGGCTATTGGAATAACTGTCTGGCCTCCCCAGCAACTACATTCGTCATCCCTGTGGGCACAGGGTGCTTTTCGTTTGCCGTTGGGCTTTAGACCCCACTGGTGTGGGGTCCAGCACCCGCGGGAGGTAGCTGCAAATGGAGGTCGCGTGCTCGCACGGGCCCTTGGTCTTAGCCTGCATCTTGCCAGGATTCAGCTCTCAAAAAGTGGAACAGGTGAGTTCTTACCCGTATTACTTTTTAAAAGGAAAATAGGTCATTTGGTAATAAGACAGCATCAAATACTTGTATTGTGAGCAGAAACACCCCTTGTGAGATCTGCTTTCAGCGCAATGGCAGTACAGTGCGTGAGGGTAAGACGGGTTAATGCACGGGTGATGATGACACATCCTCACGCTCTCCTTAGGTTATCTCCGACAGCATTTCTGTGCCCCAGAAACGGAGCGCTGGGTTGCTAAGCTTCCTTCAGTAGCTATAGGAACGGCAGCTTCAATGTTAAACACCATTAAATTATACCATGCAGTCTTAAGCTTGTTTAGGTTTACGCTCCGAGCAGACAAATCTCTCTTGCTAAAATGGTTTCACCCCCTACCTGCACTCTGGATTATGGGTTAAAGTTGTCTTGATTTGGAACAAAACAACTTTTCATTTCGTTATCGATTTGGAGCCTCCAGGTGGTAATCCAGGCTCCGAGGGCCACATTTATCTCCAGCCTAAAATCACTAGTGTCAGTACAGTTCCACTAGGGATGGATTTGGCCCCATTACTCTTGTTGGGACTATTGTGTGCTGACCAATAGTTAACGCCAACCTGCTCGCTATGAAGAATTGCCGCCTTATCTATCAGAGAGGATAAAGCTAATAGACAGGCGAGGCTGTGTCTGCGAGCTAGAGGACTTTCATTATTCCCAGCACAGCAGAGACAGAAAGAGATTGAACGGCTCGCCTGCCGCTTACTGGCACCCAATCAGTTTGCCTAGTATTTGCTTTGCATTGGAGAGTTAAGTTGTAGTTGAAGTGGGCTTGCTGGAGCACAGCTGCTCGGAGGCTAGGCGGGAGGTGCGGGGGGCTGGAGGGCCAGGTCTGCTGCCCTTGCTTTTAGCTGAGCCCCAACGCTACTTCAGGATAGGGGCAGCTAATTAGATGATTCCAGCTAATAGCTGGAAATTTATGATTAGATTTCCCACTGAATTTTATTAGGGGACGTAGATCATGGTGTTTGTGGCTCTCTACCTACACTAGATTTGTAAGACTCGGATTAACGAACGCTGGAGCGTGCTTTGCGGTTCTTTGTTAGCCAACACAACAGACATGCAAAGCACCCGTGTATTTTTAGCGCTGTCTTCTGCAAGAGCAACCAGAGTCAGTGGAATTATGGGCGATCATTTGGAGGTCAGTGCTTCCCAGTACTGCGGGCAATCAAGCAGAGTTTTACAGCATATCGTTTTCACCAGAGTGACTTAGGTGCCTTAGTACCCCTGGGAGAGGACCAGACCTAGGCAGACCCAGGCTGCACCTTTCTGCCTCCCCAACACTATCAAAGCAAAAGAAGCATTAGACGCACAACATATGATTAACAGGCTCTTTAAAGTACCAAGAAGAAGATGAGAGGAATCAAAGAACTGAAGCTCTGCTAACTGCGTCACCCAAAATTTTACCCGTACTTCTTGAAGCTGGTTTTTTTAGGTATGCATATCCAAAGACCGGATATGGTTGTTCCTGGATTATTCAGCCTTAATTCATGGAAGACTTTAAGAATGCTGCTTTTGGGCTACAAGAGGTCTCAGCCATCTATACATGCTGGAAGACTATAAAAAAATGCGTGGGACTACTTGGGTTAAGAAGGATGTAAAACCTTGACCCAGTCTCTGTCAGGGTGATCCGTAAGGATGGGGCCTTCCTTGAAGGGCCGGTATGTGTGTGGGTCCAAGAGGTGAAAATTGCCACATCTGCCGGTTACAACTGGCTCCTTCTTCTGGGACGTTTGGCTGCAGACTCTCAAGGAGAAGGAGTCTAACCCAGATCTGATCCGAGGGGCGTCCTGAGGCCTATCGCTGTAGCTTTTGCATGCTATAAATGGGAAATGGAGGCGCAAAGGAGCAGCAGGTCCATCATTTCCAACAAGCTGACCAAAGCTGAATTTCCCCGGCTGTACTTAGTGTAGGTCTTAACACCAGGTCTGCGCTAGGAAACGTTGACCATCGCCCTGCATCTTGCCAAGCCAGCCGAGGGCCCAGGAGGCAGCTTTTCCCTGCCCCAATCAGGGTGTCTGTGCTGCGGGTATCATACTCCCAAATGTGGGTTCTGCATTTGGGGGTGGAGAAGATACAGCGTGTTCCTCAGCTGTAGTTCACTTGCTGCTTCACCCTCTGAGCCGCTCTCGAGTTCTGACTTTGTTGGTACTTGCCAGGGCCATAATCTTGGGAAATTGCCCCCTACTACATCTAGTTACTCTCCCTGCACTGCACCTTCCCCCCGCTTCCCTGGGGAATGGCAGTGCATCCCCACTCCCCTTTTCCCTGCTTCCCTGGGGAATGGCAGTGCATCCCCACTCCTCCTTTCCCCGCTGCTAAACAAAAATATCTGTTTACTCGTTTCTCTCCTACCATACTATAGCACTCCAGAAAATATAACTATTCAGCCGCCTCTCAGCATTTACAGGGTTATTATCCTATATTATCGCAATGTTTCTGCTGCACTTTTCTTTCCGGCCCCATGCTTAACGCCTGCTTCTTGTGAGCAGGCACCTGGAGCTCTTTTTGGTGGGCTCTCTTTTTTTCTTCATGTTTTGAGGAAAAACCAGAAAAATAGAAATACTTCCAAAGTCAGGTAGCCTCCTCTTTCCCCTCAGCAGCTCTGCTTGTGTTCACAGAGGAAAGAAAGCAGGAGGATGTCCTAAGAGGGCAATGGAAGGCAGTGCTGGAGGGGGGATTCACTCTCCTTAGGTGACCCTATGGGGCTAACTGGCCTCAGCTGGGGGCAACTAAGCACTGATGTGCACTAAATGCTAATATAAAGCCAAGTGCCTTGCATTGCTTTAGTGGCACACAGGAAAGGAGCTTGGTTTGCTCATTGCTGTCTCAAGCTTGTCGTCTGTGGGATCTTGTTGAAAGCAGAGGGGGAAGGAAGGAAAAAGCAGGAGGAGGAGGAAGGTGCCTGG